GTCGCTGATCACTGTCATAAATTGCTGATCACCACCATAAGTCGCTGATCGCCGCCATTAGTATATATATATTAGTATTAGTATAATAAAAAAAAAATCCCAGTATCTTTCCCGCCATTTGTAAACGCTATAACTTTCATGTAAACTAATTAATTTACACGTATTGGGATTTTTTTTAAGCAAAGACATGTTGCAAAATACATTTTGGCAGAAATCTATGACTAAATTTGATTTTTACATTTTTTTTACTGGACATGTTTTATAGCAAAAAGTCCAAAATATTGTTTTTTGTTTTTTTTTTCTCAAGAATGTCAGCCTTTTTTTTTATAGCGCAAAAAATAAAAAACGCACAGGCGATTAAATGCCATTGAAAGAAAGCTCAATTTGTGGGAAAAAAAGGATGTAAATTTCATTTATGTACCGTATTGCATGACCGCGCAATTGTCCGTTAAACTAGCGCAGCGCTGTATAGCAAAAAAATGGAGCAAATTGCAGTATCTATACCATAGTTTGTAGACGCTATAACTTTCACACAAAGCAATCAATATACACTTATTGGGATTTTTTTACCAAAAACATGTAGGAGAATACATTTTGGCCTAAATTTATAACCAACTTTGAGTTTACTATATATTTTTTATAGCTGAAAGTAAAAAATATTGTTTTTCTTCAAAATTTTTGGTCTTTTTTTGTTTATAGCGTAAAAAAAAAAAAGCGCACAGGTGGTCAAATACCACTGAAAGAAAGCTCTATTTGTGTGAAAAAAAGGACGTAAATTTCGTTTGGGTGCAGCATTGCATGACCGCGTAATTATCAGTTGAATTATTGCAGCTCCGAGTAGCAAAAAGAGGCCTGGTCAGGAAGCGGGGTAAATCCTCAGGAGGGCGAGTGGTTAAGAGACTGCAATTATACATGTTCACTATTTTTAATATAATTTTGTTTGCATTCACATATATTTTAAGCACTATTTAAAGGAAGCGCGGCGCTATATGTTTATTTATATGGATTATCTATATGTTTATTTATATGGATTATCTTGCATTTTGCCTGTGCTGTAAAATGTAGCACCAATGCAAGACAACATCTGGTAGGACTACAGTTACAACATCTTCATGAGTTCCCAGGAGTAGACCGATCTTTTGATAGGAGACAGATTCTCTTGCCATTGTATGTATACAAACAACCATTTCATCAGCTTCCTGTCAACGTATGTATGAGCCGATTATTCTGATTTATTTCTATAAATAACTCCTGTTGGAAGGAGGGGGTGAGTGGAAGTTGTCGGAAACCCCCGGGATGATTAGAGAGGAACCAAGCAAGGCACTTTGTCTGGTTTTGTGTGACAGGCATCCTATATGTGTATGAATCATCGCTGAGGAAGTGATCAGCTCCCAGGTGTGACTCAGAGAAACACAATCATCTGTCGCCCCCCCCCTCGTAGATTAGGATGTCTGAACCTCAACATATATGTTATTTACAAACAATTACAGCTGTATAGGAATATCTGCAATCCTATCCTGTGATTACCGCTGATCATGACTTATTTTCTGCTCTGAACATAGCGACAGGGAAAGGGGTTACTGATCTGTGTCTGTAAATTACAAATATGACTGCGAAATGTTTTCTGCCAGCAGTGACTAGGATCACACCAGTAATTTCACAGGGAAGTACGATGTGCAGAGTGCTTGGCACAGACCACTGGGATGTACACAGACCTAAACCTCATACCACTGAGTGAGCCTCGTAAACAAGCCCCAGGGGCCTTTCGTTTTTAGATGATCACTTGTTAATGAGCTTCAACATTTCTCATATTATGCAACATTCCCAATCTGAAAATCAGGGCATGGTCTTCAAGGCCTGACCACGTTTTATCCCAGCTTGACCTGCCTCGACCGTAATTTGCCTTTCCAGCATTTTTTATTTTTTTTGCTTCTAGTAGAGATGGCATTTATGGGTGAAATGTAGTATTCCCTTCATACATGAAGCAATATGACAGGCTGACCGGGAGGAAATAACAGCTTAATGACCCTAAAGCTATACATGCATAGATGTGACATGCGCTCATGTGCAATTTTCCTCTGACAACCAGTGATCCAGTTTTCAGCCTGGCTCAATCTTTCAGAGTGTGGCGGAAAACATTCTGGGTCTGGCAGTGTGTAGTTCAATGTTGGTTAGCTTTCTTCATATTGGGGACCTCAAGCCTGGCCCTTGATCTCACCAAAGGACAGCATATATATTTCAGTGAATATTCAGTGTCAGAGACAGCAGACACATAACAGGATATAGTCAAAGGCTGTGGACATGGTGCAAAAGATGGTCAAAAACTACAGACACGATACAAGGGATGGCCAGAGTCTACAGACGTGATACAAGAGATGGCCAGAGTCTACAGACATGATACAATAGATGGCCAGAGTCTACAAGCATAATACAAGAGATGGCCAGAGTCTACAGACACGATACAAGACATGGCCAGAGTCTACAGACACGATACAAGAGATGGCCAGAGTCTACAGACACGATACAAGGGATGGCCAGAGTCTACAGACACGATACAAGGGATGGCCAGAGTCTACAGACACGATACAAGAGATGGCCAGAGTCTACAGACACGATACAAGGGATGGCCAGAGTCTACAGACACGATACAAGAGATGGCCAGAGTCTACAGACACGATACAAGGGATGGCCAGAGTCTACAGACACGATACAAGAGATGGCCAGAGTCTACAGACACAATACAAGGGATGGCCAGAGTCTACAGACACGATACAAGGGATGGCCAGAGTCTACAGACACAATACAAGAGATGGCCAGAGTCTACAGACACGATGCAAGAGATGGCCAGAGTCTACAAGCATAATACAAGAGATGGCCAGAGTCTACAGACACAATACAAGAGATGGCCAGAGTCTACAAGCATAATACAAGAGATGGCCAGAGTCTACAGACACGATACAAGAGATGGCCAGAGTCTACAAATAAGATAAAAGAGATGGCCAGAGTCTACAGACACGATGCAAGAGATGGCCAGAGTCTACAGACACGATGCAAGAGATGGCCAGAGTCTACAGACACGATACAAGAGATGGCCAGAGTCTACAGACACGATACAAGAGATGGCCAGAGTCTACAGACACGATGCAAGAGATGGCCAGAGTCTACATGAAGCAAGAGATGGTCAGACTGTGGACATACCACAGGAGATGGTCAGGCACTGTGACCATGAGTCTTCGGTCACACCAAATTTGACTTTGAAATCGTCCAACTTCACTTGAATTTGCACAATTTCAAAGTCGGATATCAGTCTAACTTCAGGTATGATTTGGAAGACATTTGTGAGACTTCATGCACAGATGTCTTTGCAAGGCACACCTGAACTTGCAAAAAGTAGTGCAAAATCGGTGCGCATGACAAGACGCACCGGTGTCACCGGGACTAATACAGGGGATGGTTAGAGACTGCGAATATAATAACGGAGATGGTCAAAGACTGTGGACATAATACAGGAGATGGTCATAGACTGCAAACATAATACAGGAGATGATCAGACTGTGGACAAAATACAAAAGATGGGCAGAAATTGTGATCATGATGCAAGAGACGGTCAGAGACTGTGGATATAGTACAGGGGATGGTCAGAGACTGAGGATATTTAATTATTTTTTAGTACAGGTACTTGTTTAGTGTCGTCAATTACACAGCACGTTACAAATTGTACATTCACATCAGTCCCTGCCCTCAAGGAGCTTGCAATTTAAGGTCCCTAACTCGCGTTCATGCATACACAGCATGTCTTTGAAGCATGGGAGAAAACCCAGAGGAAACCCACACACGCAGAGGGAGAAGATGCAAACTCCAGGCAGGTAGTTCCGTGGTAATACGGGAGATGGTCAGAGATTATGATCATAATGCAAGAGATAGTCAGAGATTGTGAACATGAGGAAAGAGATGGTCAGAGACTGCAGACATAGTACAAGAGATGGTCAGAGACTGCAGACATAGTACAAGAGATGGTCAGAGACTGCAGACATAGTACAAGAGATGGTCAGAGACTGCAGACATATTACAAGAGATGGTCAGAGACTGCAGACATATTACAAGAGATGGTCAGAGACTGCAGACATAGTACAAGAGATGGTCAGAGACTACATAACATAATACAGGAAATGGTCAAAGATTGTGAACATGAGGAAAGAGATGGTCAGAGACTGCGGCCATAGTACGGGAGATGGTCAGAGACTGCAGCCATAGTACAGGAGATGGGCAGAGACTGCATAACATAATACAGGAGATGGTCAGAGATTGGGAACATGAGGAAAGAGATGGTCAGAAACTGCAGACATAGTACAGGAAATGGTCAGAGACTACATAACATAATACAGGAAATGGTCAAAGATTGTGAACATGAGGAAAGAGATGGTCAGAGACTGCGGCCATAGTACAGGAGATGGGCAGAGACTGCGGCCATAGTACAGGAGATGGGCAGAGACTGCAGACATCCTGCAGGAGAATATGCACGTGCTATAGGAGTTTTTGGAGGCTGGGGACATGCTTCAGGAGACAGTCATAGACTGCTAGAATTTCAATTGAATTTTTTGTTGCTATTCTGTCTCTGTGTTACAATACACCTACCATTCGATTTTTAGACTGATCATTTCTTTGTGAGTGGGCAAACATTCAAAATCAGCCGGGGATCAAATACTTATTTCCTTCACTGTATCTAATTGTTACTCTCACCTTTATCAGAGAATATGTCATCATTGTCAAAGCATTGATTACATAATTGGGCACCCTATGGTTTACAGATTAATTTTTTTGCAGAAAAAAAGAGTACGGTGTTCAAGTTTGTTCATCTTGAAGTGTTACTAAACCCACAGCAGGAAAATCAGTCTGTATATGCAGTAAAGCATGATATTTATACTCACTGTAGAACCTAAGGGGTCAATCCTCTGCATTGCGTAAAAAGGCCATTTGATCTTGTTTTTTCTGCCCCTCCTCTTGTTCAAATGTCCACATGATAAGACAGACTGAACCCGTAGCCACATGAACTTGCTCGGTTTGGTGTGTATTGCTAGAGAGGTTTTTTCTTTCTTGGGAGAGTGCAAGTGATCAGCACAGGGCCTATCAGCACTGTCCAGACAGAGGTCAGGGGTTTTGCACCCTCCTAGAGCAGAAAGAAAACTCCTCCTACAAGCTTTAACCAGTGCTCTGCTTAAGTCACAAGACTGCTCTAACTGCTGATGAGAAAAGGTATTTAGCAGTTTATATTTACTAAAATAATTGCACTTCCATGTTCTGTGTACTGTGAGTGACCAGATATAGTGAATGCTGGGTCTTGGGTTTAGTAACACTTTAAATTGCACAATTTAGGATACACATTTAAACAATGCTCATTTTTTTTTTTTTGCTTAGGTCTGCTTTTATAGGAAAAAAGTGACGATGTCTCTTTGACCCATGATTGCACAGATGATAAACTGAGCTCTTGCTGGCCCATTTTACTGACTGACTGTATTAAAATAATCACATGATATGCTTGTTTTCGAGACAAGTTGCATTCATTACATTTTCCTATGTCTACGTATGGTAAACAAAAAACTTTCTGGATTTCCTGAGTAATTCAAACCACATCCTCCAAACATTTACACAGAGCTTTAATTTAAAATCGGCCCTTATATAGAAGCTATTGCATTTTTATAAGTACTCTGCATTCTCCAGATGGTCACATGGTTATAGTGGAACTACACTGCATCTGAGCACCACGAACTGAAAATGCTATTTAGTTCATTTTTAATATTCAGAGCAAACTCACCCATCCAGCCATATCTGCATGCTTTAATTTACTGAGAAATCTCTTTGAAAAACACCCCCTAGCCTTTCTGTCCATGGCCATCTTGAGTAAGGGAAGATGATTCATGTAGAATGTACTTCCTGGAATCCATTTGCCCTTAGCTCAGGCATTCAGGCAGAAGGGAGTGCTTAGCTGAAAAAACCTTCCTCTCCTCCTGAAGACTCCTGAGATGTATGACATCATTTGCCTAGGCAAGAAAACCAGGGAGTAACTGAAGAAATGTAAAAAAAAAGTTTAAAACAAATAAATATGATATACTTTCCTATGTATTTATTATTGCTAGCAACATAAGAATTAAAAATAATCAATGATGATTGAGGGAGTGAAGTTCTGTTTTAAAGTGTCACTAAACCCACATTATAAAAAAACTATCAATAAATGCTGTATTATATTCTGTTCATACTCCGTTTTCTATATTGTGCAAAAAACCTGGTTGATCCTGCTGTTGTCTGTCTTCGCCTCCTGTCCATGTCCCCAGTGCAGCTCGGGATTTTGCAGAGCAGTGTTGGCAGCTCTGCACATGCTCAGTTCTCAGTGAGTTTCTATGCTGAGCTTTTACTCCCTATGACATCTTATCAGCCCATGTGACTATGGAGTCACACATGTGGGTATATACATAATGGTAAATGACAGCCCACTCCATCCTCCTTGCCCGTTAACCAGGTAAACACAATGGGGAGGGCTTCACCTCCCTTTTATTCTTATTACAGCCTGTGACTGGCAGAAATCCGCCCACACCATGTTATTGCTAAAAAATAATAATGATTTGATTTCAGATAAATATTTGTATGACAATTTAAAACAGTTTATTGATAATAATTATTTCTTTTTACTCTGTATTCCAAAGGCTGTTTTTTTTATATTTGGGACATTACAAGCAGCAGAGGTCTAAAAGCTCCTCCTGCTTATGTTTCCCTACAGACAGGCTGGGAAAGATCCTGGTCATGTGACAGCTGTATATTAACTAGGGAAAAGGTACTTAGATATTTTTTTTTATTATAATAGTTACAGTGCCATCATCCATATACAGAAATAAAAGGGGCAATGTAAATTAAACAGTGTGTGTTTAGTTACACCTTAGATTTGATTACTACAAAGCTCTGTTTTTGATGTATAAAAGAAAAAGGTTTATCTACATATCTTAAAATGTATGTTATTTCCAATCTTTGGTCTTTTTTGTACTATCTGTCCACAGGGTCGGTGTCTTGTAATGGAGGAAGGAATTAATGGGAAAACTGTTGACAGACCTGGTACTGAAAGGATGCAAGAAGATGTCACCATGTCCATGAGTGCTGGTGGTACTGATATGGCAGCAGACACACAGATGATTGAGTCCCACAACATAAAGAAACCTGAACAAATGAAGATAAATGATATGGAAACAGAAGATCTATATAGGAAGAAGAACATGGAAGTCCAAGAGCCACGCATCATACACAGTCAAGAAAACATGGACATAGAAGAGTTAGGTGTAACAAAGAGTACCGATAACAATGGAGAGATTGATGTTGGCCAAACACTTGATGGACCACAACATCCAATCACAATACAGAGGCCATTAGGGGAGGCTGCAAGAAAAGTATCAACGAGTCCCATCCCTGTTACAAAGAACACAGAAAAGCTTGATATTAAACAAAGTCCAATCAGTAAGGCCTTACAGGAAGTGACTCAGTGCTTGATAATAGACAACCAAAGTCTGGAAACAAACACAGACAACCCTATCGCAAGTGGAATACAGACCAACCAAACCGATACTAAAGAGAAAGATTCCAAAAACTTCTCTGGACAAGCCAGTCAAGAAATAATTCCAATGCCAGCCTCTAATAACATTAATATCCCTGAGACAAGAAAACAAGTGATGAGGAATACCATGACTTCTGAGAGCATAGTTCTAGTACCAAGTCCACACACCAATACTCCTCAAGAGATTTTGTTAAAGGAGAATGCAGATAATGGGGACAATGTGAACCATGTAATAGGCGCCAACAGCATTAGTGCTATGGGTCCCGCCACAAAACATAGCACCAGCCATACGTTCACACCAGTGCCGAACGTCACCATGCATCATGACTACACCGTATGTGTTTTTATTTTGCAATACTATTTACTTCTTCTGATTTTTCAAGCTGGATCTTGCACAGAACAGTCATCTAGAAAGAAAGCATTTGGCACACTTGATTCATGAATTGTTGTATTTTCCGTCAGCTGATTCATCAGATTGTCATGAAGACAAATATGTGTAGTCTTTGCAGTTTTGCTCACCTGTTTCCGCCTGGTATGCTAATAGCACAAAGACCTCAAAATGTCACAAAGCCATGGGCTTAACCCTGTGTGGGGAAAAAAAGGTCTTTGTGGCAGAGTTTGATGGTGGATATAGTGTAAAGACTATAGTTTTTGACTGATCGTGCTGATTGAAAGAGCACTTCAAATTTAATTAAAGTGAACTTTTTTTTTTTTACTGATTTGACAATCTAAGGTTAAAGTATATCTAAAGCCAGGGCTTGACAAATTTGCTTTGAATCTAGGTACAAGCTAAAATAGTTAGCCATTTTTTTTTTTTGCCTAGCTTGGGTTGTCAGCGCCCAGGGCAAGGCAACTTTTGGGCGACAATATTCATGGAATGAGATTTGCCGCATGACAATCACAGCAAAAACAAGCCATGTTTTAGGTGCCATTTAAAATAATGGCACCTGAACCTGCGTTTTACAATTGTAGTGATCCTAAAACACCCAGGTGTGAATGGAATCCTTCCTGGTCCCTGGAAGGCATTTTTGCATTCAAGTCTGTGGGAGGCGTAATTGCATTGAAGTCTATGGAAGGCATTTTTGCATTGAACTCTATGGGAAGCATTTTTGCATTGAAGTCTATAGGACGTGATCTTGCATTGAAGTCAATGGGATGTGATTTTGCATTGAAGTCAGTGGGAGGCAGTGTGTGAACCCAAACGACAGGATGCAATTTCTAGTCGCCATAGCGACCTAGTGCCTGGGATTTGTCGAGAGCTGTCTAAAGTCACAACTTTTTTTTTATTTTAGATAAAGTAGGGAAGGGTTAAATCCCTGTCTTGTGTTTTTTTTTTTTTTTTTGCCATTGGGGAGATTTCCATTCTCTTCCTGTCATTGATACACATCAGGAAGTCAGCTGAAATCTCTCCAAAGTGAGCTTAAAGTGGTTGTAAAGCCTGACGGTTTCTGGGCATGAAGGTAAAAAACCTTCTGTGCGCAGCAGTCTCCCCTAATATTTACCTGAGCCCCATGGTGATCTAGTGATATGCACGAGAGCCTCAGTTCTCCAGGGAATCTCCTTCCATATTGGCTGAGACAGCAGCGGGAGCCACTGGCATCATAGCCAGTGAGCAAATGAGAAAGAGAGGGGGCAGGGCTGAGTCGCAGCTCTGTGTGTGAATGGACATGCAGAGCAGCAGCTCAGAAGTGAGCCTACTTGGGTGCCCCCATAGCAAGCCGCTAGCTCTGAGGGCACTTGGCAAGAGGGAGGGGTCAGGAGCACCTGCGAGGGACTTGAAAAGAGGAGGATTGGGGCTGCTCTGTGCAAAACCACTGCACAGAGCAGGTAAGTATGATATCATTGTTATTTTTTTTTTATTGCCTTTAATATCACTTTAAACAATATGTGAAAGGGTTAGAACAGTGGTGTCAAATTGGTGGCCCTCCAGCTGTTGCGAAACTAGTCCCATCATGCCTCAGCCTTTGGAAGTCATGCTTGTAGCTGTCAGTCTTGCAATGCCTCATGGGACTTGTAGTTTGGCAGCAGCTGGAGGGCCGCCAGTTTGACACCTGTGAGTTAGAATGTCTGCCAATGTTTATTGCTTGAGTCCCCGTTGATGTTACTGCCTCTCATTCCTGTTCCATGGTACAACAGGAACTAATGCAGGCCATAGATGGGGAGAAAGGCGGATGATTTTTCTTTTAAAAAACGAAAAATCGGTTCTTCAATCAGCCGACGTTACCAGGAACGGTAAAAAATGTTTTACCCCGTCTACAGCCGGCAAAAAGTGTCTCTGCAGAGAGCTCCGCTATTTCTTTGACATTTATAGCGGCTGCAACATTGTATCTATTTGTATCCATTTCAGATATAGATGTTTTTTCGGAAACAAATAGATACAATGTTGCAGCCGCTATAAATGTCAAAGAACTGTCAAAGAATTAGCGGAGCTCTCTGCAGGGACACTTTTTGCCAGACTGGAATTCTTCTTCTTCTTCATCCTCTTCTTCTTCTACATCCTCTTCTTCTTCATCGTCATCTTCTTCTTCCTCATCTTCTTTTTCCTCTTCTTCTTCCTCTTCCTCTTCTTCATCCTCTTCTTCTTTTTCTTCATCCTCTTCTTCTCCTTCTTCATCCTCTTCTTCTTATTCTTCATCCTCTTCTTATTATTCATCTTCTTCTTCTTCTTCATCCTCTTCTTCATCTCTTCTTTTTCTTCCTCTTCTTCATCCTCTTCTTCTTCCTCTTCTTCTTCTTCCTCTTCCTCTTCTTCTTCCTCTTCATCCTCTTCTTCTTTTTGTCTTCCTCTTGCAGGTCACTGCTCATGCGCAGATTTTTTATCGTTAAAAGATCGGCCGATTTGTCCATCATTGCCGCGAAAATCGGGCGATCGGCAAAATCGGACGATTTTTTTCCAACTTTACCGATAAAAAAAATCTGCCAAAATACTGAAAAATGGCCGACCTATTAACCCACTAACAATCCGAAAATCTGATGATTTTATTTTCGGATGAAAAATCGGCCGATTTTCGACCCATCTATGGCCTGCATTAGAAATCATCTCCCTAAAGTTAGAATTAATCCCACCTGTGACTGCTGCCACCAGGACAACTGTCCCCATTGGGAGGTTTTCCCTTTACTTATGGTGGGAGCTGTCAGTGGTGTGATTTCTCTTCCTTCTTTTATGTCCCCCATAACATGCTTTCCTACCCTGTCCAAGATGAAGAGAACTTGACTGGAGTTCCACTTGAATTTTATAGTTGATCATATCACAACTTTATTTAAAAAAAGAATATCTACTTATTTACCCATCATGTTCTTAATTGCTTTTCTAGGGGGCAATATCTAATGCACAGATGCTTTCCTGTCAGTCCAACTTGTGTTCTGTACCTGGAGTGTGCAGCATCTGTCAGTCACTCCTCACCCAGTCACCGCAAACCATCATCCTGCCCTCTGAAGTCTCAGGAACTGCTTACCCAGCAAATTCTGTGGATCGCATTATACATGGATCAATCAACCCTCAACTAATTCAAGGTACAGAAAGAGAGAGAGCGGGCATTTGAGATATTTCATTCCACCATGTGTCTGCTATATGTGTATATATTGTCAGCAGCACTATGACTCAGAACCACTTGTTCCAAGTTTACCTGAGGCTGCTACTCAGTCCGTCCCCGTGTGAACTCTGCCATTCCATAGCTTTGTATGTTTATTTAAAAAGGGCCCCGTGACCTGTGTAGTCAGTGGAAGACTAGAACAGTGCATGAGAAAGAGAGGCTATAAAATGAATGTTGTGCTGAGAAAATGTGAACGGAAGGCGTGTGTGTACTAATTTTATATATATATATATATATATTATATTTATTATTATTATACAGGATTTATATAGCACCAACAGTTTGCGCAGCGCTTTACAAAATGAAGGTAGACATTGCAGTTACAATTTGGTACAATAGGAAACAGAGGGGCCTGTTCGTTAGAGCTTACAATTCTAGGAGGAAGGCTTGAGTGATACAAAAGGTAATAACTGTGGGGGATGAGCTGATGGAGGAAATAAATGGCGGTTTACTAGGTAGATGCAGGATAGGCTTCTTTAAAGAGAAAGGTTTTCAGGAATCGTCTAAAGGTGGATAGATTAGGAGACAGCCAGACAGATTGGGTAGGGAGTTCCATAGGATGGGGGAAGCTCAGGAGAAGTCCTGGAGACGAGCATGGGAAGAGGTGACACAGGAACTAGAGAGCAGAAGGTCTTGGGAGGATCGAAGAGAGTGGTTTGGTTGGTATTTTGAGACCAGGTTGATGATGTAACTGGGGGCAGAGTTGTGGATGGCTTTGTAAATTGTTGTTAGTATTTTGAATTTTATTCGTTGAGCGAGTGGAAGCCAGTGGAGGGATTGGCAGAGAAGGGTTGGTAAGGTGGATGAGCCTGGCAGCAGCATTCATGATAGACTGAAGGGGGGATAGCCTATGTAAAGGTAAGCCAATGAGGAGGGATTTGCAGTAGTCGATGCAAGAGATGACCAGGGAATGAATTAGGAGCTTTGTGGTATCATTGGTTAAAGAGGGGCATATTCTGGAGATGTTGCGGAGGTTGACGCAGCATGATTTGGACAGGGATTGGATGTGGCCTGAAAGGATAGTTTAGAATCCAGGGTTACCCCTAGCACCCTGGCATGCAGGCATGGGTTGACAGTGGTGCTATTGATCCTGACTGAGAAATCAGGGAAAGAGGCATGTGGGGGAGGAAATATTATGTTCAGTTTTGGATAGATTCAGTTTTAGGAAATGGTATGACATCCAGTCTGTCTGTTAGTAAATTGGTGATACATGTGGAAACTGATGGGGGTGAGCTGAGGAGTAGAGAGATAGCTATGTGTCATCAGCATAGAAATGGTATTTGAAACCATGGGAAGCTATCAGCTGACCCAAGGAAGAAGTGTAGATTGAGAATAGGAGAGGTCCAAGGATAGAACCTTGGGGGACCTTGACAGTAAGAGGAGTAGGAGAGGAGGAAGTAGAGTTGTAAATGATACTGAAGGTGCGGTGAGATAGGTAAGATTCGAACCAACAGAGAGTACAGTCATGGAGGCCAAGTAAATAGAGTTTTTTGAGGAGGAGGGGGTGGTCAACAATGTATCTATTTGTATCCATTTAGGATACAGATGTTTTTATTCGGAAACAAATAGATACATTGTTGCAACCGCTATAAATGTCAAGGAACTGTCAAAGAAATAGCGGAGCTCTCTGCAGGGACACGTTTTGCCGGACTGGAATTCCTCTTCTTCTTCATCCTCTTCTTCTTCTTCCTCTTCTTCTTCTTCTTCTTCTTTGTCCTCTTCTTCTTCTTCATCCTCTTCATCCTTCTTCTTCTTCTTCTGCTTCTTCTACTTCTTCTTCATCCTTCTTCTTCTTCATCCTCTTCTTCTTCTTCATCCTCTTCTTCTTCTTCATCCTCTTCTTCTTCCTCCTCTTCTTCTTCCTCCTCTTCTTTCTTCATCCTCTTCTTCATCCTCTTCTTCTTCTTCATCCTCTTCTTCCTCTTCTTCATCCTCTTCTTCATCTTCTTCTATTCTTCTCTTCTATCTTCTTCTTCTTCTTCATCCTCTTCTTCTTCTTCTTCATCCTCTTCTTTTTGTCTTCCTCTTGCAGGTCACTGCTCATGCGCAGATTTTTTTATCGGTAAAAAGATCGGCCGATTTGCCCATCATTGCCGCGAAAATCGGCTGATCGGCAAAATCGCCCGATTTTTTTTCCAACTTTGCCGATAAAAAAATCTGCCAAAATACCGAAAAACGGCTGAACAATTAGCCCACTAACGATCCGAAAATCGGCCGAATTTTATTTTCGGCCGAAAAATCGGCCGATTTTCGACCCATCTATGGCCTGCATTAGCCCACACATGAAGTCTCTACTAAATTTATTTCTATAGCACTGTCTCATAGATTATAAGGTAAATGGCACTGAAATCACACCTATCAGCACTACATTGAAGTTGTTCTTTAAATAGGACCAAATCGCACCAATCACATTCGGTGTGAACCAAGGCTAATACAGGCAGTCCTTGGGTTACAAATAAAATAGGTTCTGTAGGTTTGTTCTTAAGTCAAATTTGTATGTAAGTTGGGACAAGTACATTTTTTTCAGTGTAACCCTAGCCAGTAAAAATAATTTTTACATATTTTGGATAGCATAGGGAAAGGTTAACACCCCTGTACCATTTGTTTTGCTGTTTGTGCCCCTGCTGAGAATATTTCACCTCACTTTCTGTCCCTGTGACAATTGGATTTTGAAAATTTGGGGTTTTTGTGGAAACAAGGATTGGTGATAAAGCTTCAGTGGAGACACCTTTTTTCCCATGATAACTCTTACAGGAGTGAATTTCCCTTCCTATGGGTAGACTTCTTCTCACTTCCTGTTGTCTCCCTCCGTTTGAAAGTAAGAGTTGTATGTAAGTCTGATGTATGAAACTCGGGAACTACCTGTAGAGGGTTGCTAATGTGACATGGTCTTAAAGTGTTAATAAACCCAAAACAGTAAAATCAGTCTGTATATTATTTATTATTATTTATACAGGATTTATATAGCGCCAACAGTTTGCTCAGCGCTTTACAATATAAAGGGAGACAGTACAGCAACTATACAGTTCAATACAGGAGGGTTAGGAGGGCCTGATCCTTGGAGCTTACAATCTTAGTGATACAAAAGTTAGTAATTGTGGGGGATGGACTGGTAGGAGGAGTATAAGATTCCATTATTAGCTGAGGACAGGATAGGTTTTCAGAGATCACTTAAAAGTGAGCAGAGTAGGCGATAGTTTGATAAATTGGGGTAGAGAGTTCCAGAGGATGGGGGAAGCTCTGGAGAAGTCCTGGAGACACGCATGGGAGTAGGAGACAAGGGAGCTAAAGAGCAGGAGGTCGTGCGAGGAGCGGAGAGTACGGTTTGGGTGATATTTGGAGACAAGATTGGTGATGTAATTTGGGTCAGAGTTATAAATGGCTCTATTTGTTATTGTTAATGTTTTGAATTTTATCCATTGGGCAATGGGAAGCCAGTGGAGGGATTGGCGAAGAGAGATGGCAGATATGGAATGGTTATTAAGGTGGATGAGTCTGGCAGCAGCATTCATGATAGACTGAAGAGGGGATAGCCTGCGATGAGGTAGGCCAATGAGGAGGGAGTTACAATAGTCAAGTCGAGAGATAACAAGGGAGTGAATAAGTTGCTTAGTAGTTTCCGAGGTTAGGAACGGGCGTATCTTGGAGATGTTGCGGAGGTGAAGTCTACAAGATTTGGCAAGTGATTAGATTTGGGGCTGGAAGGACAGATGGGAGTCTAGGATTACACCTAGAACCCTGGCATGATGGGAGGAACTGATGGTTGTGTTATTGCAGTATTGTGTATATGCAGTAAAGCATGCTTGTTGTACTCACTGTAGAACCTAAGGGGTTAATCCTCTGCATTGTGTAAAAAGACTGTTTGATCCTGACTTCTCTGCCCCTACTCTTGTTGAAATGTCCACGCTGAAAAGACAAGAACCCGTAACCCTTCTGCACATGCTCAGTTTAGTGTGTATTGCTAGAGAGGTTTTTTTCTTGCGAGAGTGCATGTGATCAGCACAGGGCCAATCAGCACTGTCCAGACAAAGGTGAGGGGTTTTGCATCCTCTCCTAGAGCTGAAATAAAACTTCTCCTACAAGCTTTAACCAGTGCTCAGCTGAAGTCACAAGACCGCTATATACTGCTTATGAGAAAAGGTATTTAGCAGTTTATATTTACTAAAATAATTACACTTTCATGTTCTGTGTACTGTGGGAGACCAGATATAGTGAATGCAGGGTCCTGGGTTTAGTAACACTTTAACAATCGATGAGAGTGCTGACTAGAGTGCTCTGGTGGGGGGGCATCCCCCTTGTTAGTACAGAGACTGCCCCTGCTAAACTATTGTGTTCTAACTTCGGATAGTTAATAGAGCGGCTCCTCCTGAGCTGTCAAGTTTAGAAGCAGAAGCGCCGAAAGATATACTGTATGTTCTTGCTGTCTCATTCATTAACCTCCCTGGCGGTATTCCTGAGTGTAGCTCGGGGTAAAGTTTCAGTACCAAAAGCGGTAACCCCGAGCTACACTCGGGCTTACCATGCGGCGTTGCTCAGGGAGTCCCTGCAGAGCTTACCTTGTCCTTCGCTCCCGCGATGCGTCCCCTGCAGCATCCCCGGCCATCTCCTCCGGCCGATGCCGGCATCTGGCTTCCGTGTTCCAGTTCCTGTGACGCCAGGACGTACGGGCGCCGGAACCGGCGGCAAATTTGAAAATTTAAAAAAAATGCCATTTTTTTAAAACGATTATTTCATAGCAAAACATTACTGTATCAAAGCATTTCACATACATTTTGTCCCTACTGCTTTGTCCTGTGTTCTGCCTGCATTTTGACTGTTCTTTCTGCCTGGAAACTTAGAAAAGTCCACGGCGTCCAAAAAGCGTCCCTTTAGGTCAAAATCGGTTTTAGACCGGCTAGAGAACAGCGATAGTAAATCAGAACTACTTGCAGAATTCAGTGATGATTCGTGGGGGAAATTCGTCATCAGACACTGAAAACGATTTTGCGACTTTGCTCAGTGATGTGCGAACTTGGCGCTATATTTCAAATTTCAGTGTTTTTGGTTTGATTATATTATTGAATTAAATTTATTATTATTATATTATTATTTTTTATGAATATTTATTAAATTATAATTTATGATTTCGTATTTCAAGTTTTATCATATCCGGAATGCTTACTAGACTCTTGTTCGTACAGATTTCAGGGAGTTATTCCTAAATTACAGGCCTACAATAAAATAAATACATATTTCCATGCAAAAAAATGGTAGCGCTTTTGGTACAAAATTCCTGACATAATCATACTGCCAGGGAGGTTAATAGTTAATCCCAAGAGTTACCATTGTGTTGTCCATGTGTCCAGATTTAATTTTTTCAATGTTTGTTAGAACATAAAAGCTAAAGTCTGGTTGACATGAGAAGCTTCCCTGTTTTCCTGGACTAAGCCTTTCTGGGTGTATATCATGGGATACACACACCATTGTGTACTGTTGAAATGCTTATTACTGTTTATTTTGCTTTCAGGTTGTATTGTCACAAGTTCTGAGGGCAGGAATTCTGGGGTCACCCAGTATTATATCCTGGAGGAGCCAGAGAATGGTATGCAAAACTGGGTCTTTGTAACTTCTGTTGAATAGGCACAACAAAATAAAAAAGCCAAAATAGTAATAGTAAAATGATAAGGTACAAAGTGGTACAATCATTATAAACTTATATATATACATACACAATGGTGGGGATTTACTAACACTGGTGCATACAGAATCTGGTGCAGCTCTGCATAGCAACCAATCAGCTTCTAGATCTTATTGTCAAAGCTTAAGTGAACAAGCTGAAGTTAGAAGCTGATTGGCCACCATGCACAGTTGCATTAGATTTAGTAAATCTCCCCCAATGACTTCATACATAAACCCAAAACTGCTTACATGTGATCTGCTAGTAATCATGGCAATTACCCTAGGAATGTTCCTTCTGGAGCAGCAAACTAGTGTACATAACATCATTGTATATAACAAAGAGATAAATAAAAAGATAAGAAGAAAATAAGAAGTTGAGAAATAAAGCATCTGAATAGATGTTTTAACCCGCATCCCTTGAGTTCAGGGCACAAGATTTGTTTTCTTTCCTCCACATATGTAAGTTATCCAAGGATTTCAAGTTTTTTCAGATAGCTTTACTTTATCATTCAGAATAGCTGAAATAATTTTGAATATTATTATCCATAATTTTTTTACCTTGATCAGATCGAATGGAATGGGCTGCGACTTCCAATATCTGGTTATTGTTATTCTTGCAGCTATGTAAATTAACAAGATTAGCCTTCTGATACCACCCAGGTTCAACTGTGGTTAAGTTAAAGAGTGTCTGTGGGTTGGCTTTTTTAGATTAATCTGGGTCAAAGAATATATGAAGTTGTGTATACGAATCTGGAATCTATTGGCTTTTGGGCACATCCACCATGTATGGTAAGCTGTGTCCTCCTGTCCACATCCCCTGAAGCAGTTCGGGGAAACCCCAGGGACACAGAAGGTCAATCTCAATGGAATCATATACCAATGTGACAATACTTTATAATTCACTTCAATAATCAAAGTGTTGATACATGACTTATACACACAAAGGACCAAATTATACCAGTCACTGAGGTCCTTATCTTCAGCCATATCCTGTTACCCACTTAACCTTGTAAGGCAGTTTTGTGAATTCTCTAAGATATGATTAGTGATCTTGTTGAGCTTCCTGCATAGGTATTCCATAGACGTCATAGTTGTCAAGTCTGAACGATGTTTTAAGGTATTTAAAAAATGTACACTTTGATTATAGCAAACAAAGTCTGGATCAGGTAATTTAAACTTTTCATGGAAGTCTTGCTTTGACAGGATACCTTGATCATTCCATAAATACACTATTCGCAGGAACCCTTTGTTTGTCCACCATGTAAAGTTTGTAGGGGTAAGACTTGGGGTGAAAGCTGAGTCGTCTAGGTTTTCCAAACGTTTTTGGTATTGTGGAGGATAATAATTTGTTGGATATAATGCTTGGAGGCAGGGAGTCAGATGTGTCCCCAAGTAAAGAAAAGCTTCCTGTTGCCACTTAAAATAAACATTTCTCTTCACATTATTAAGTGTTTGGTCAATTGCTATTTTTTTAACTAAAATAATTATCTTCATCTGTTTTTTTATCCTTTGATATTTACATAAAAGCACCACTGGTAACCTGCAGCCCCTTTTTGTCTGTATGCATGCAATCCAGCAACTGCTGCACATAAATTTTCAGGGTGGTTTTCCTGATGGGGACAACAGTAGAAATTACCTGTGCTGTTTGCATCAGTATGGCTGCTTGCAGGCTACTTTACGAGGGTGAACCACAGGGTAACCACATAAGAGAACAGTTGCGAGACAGGGACCAAATGTTGTCTTATGTCAGGACGGGCCTGAAGAAGGACCTTTATGCAATGAGCACTAAATATCAGTTTATTGAAAGCTACAGTTTAAAAATATTAAAAATTACTTTTAATAATACTTTAACATATTAGTTTCAAAGTTAAGGCTGACATGAGAGTTTTAGTTATTGGGTTTATATATACTCTACTTTAATAAATAGTTCAATGATGATTAACCATTAGCCGCCTGGCCAATGGCCGTTTGGCGGCTTCAGATGTGCCTCTTCATTCAGGGTGCACGCCATTTGGCGTGCTCCCGCACATGCGCCGTTTGCGGTAATGCAGAGTGGCGCAGCAGCGGGATCTGTCACGGGCCGTGCACCTCGGACACGGCCGATGACAGATCCGAGTACCGGCTCCCGTTGCTGGTACCATGTGACCTGCTGTGACCAATCACAGCAGGTCACATGACAGTTGTATACAATGGATGGCTTCATTCATGATGCCATCCATTGTATACTAGTGCCTAGCTGTGAATGGTCACAGCTAATCACATGCACATGTCATGTGATTAGCTGTGACCAAATCACAGCTAAGCACAAAAAAAAAAAAAAAAAATAAAAAGCTGAATGAATCGATTTCATTCAGGTAAAAGCTTGCTTATAGCAAAGTAATTCTTTGCTATAAGCAAATTGTGTAAAAAAAAAAAAAAAAATACTGATCACTTCCCCAAAGTAGTACAGTGTTACTATGGTAACATTGTACTACTTTGGTCATAGTAAAATATGAAAAAAAAAATAAAAAAAAGTAATAAAAAATTAAATATATAATAAAAAAAATATATATATGTATATATATTTTTTTTTTTTTTTCATACTGTCGCCAGTCAGTGTCCCTGTTAACCGCCATGCCAGTTATATGATGACGCTGTACTGCACTGGTGACAGTATGTAAAAAAAAAATAGTGAAAATAATTTTTTTAATTTTTTCATTTTCCGAAAAATTATGACATAAAAATACAACTTCAAAAAACTCGCCATGCCTCTTATGAAGTACGTCGGACTGTCTACTCTGCAAAAAGGGGTCATTTGGGGGGATATCTGTACTATTCTGACATTCTTGGACCTCAAGAAATTAGATTGGCTGTCAGTACTTCAGGATTGATCAATATTCAGATCTATACCATAGTTTGTGAACTCTATAACTTTCCTACAAACTAAAAAATACATCCTAATTTGGGTTATTTTCACCAAAGACATGTAGCAGAATACATCTCGGCCTAAATTTATGAAGAACAATTATTTATTTGTAAACCTTTATAACAGAAACAAAGAAAAATGTGGTTTTTTTTCAAAATTTTTGGTCTTTTTTTGTTAATTTAGCAAAAAATAAAAACCCCAGCGGTGATTAAATACCACCAAAAGAAAGCTCTAGTTGTGTGAAGAAAATGATAAAATTTTTATTTTGGGTACAGTGTTGCATGACCGCGCAATTGTCATTCAAAGTGTGAGAGCGCTGAAACCTGAAAAATGGCCTGGGCAGGAAGGTGTAAAATTGCACGGTATTGAAACGGTTAATAAAACAGTAAAACAGAGGTCAGGCTTCCAACTCTTCTAGACTGCTGTAAACCAATATCTGAATGAATTATACAATTCTGTTCTTACACTGGGGGTTATTTACCTAAACTGGAGAGTGCAAAATCTGGTGCAACTCTCTGCATAGAAACCAATCAGCTTTCAGGTTTATTGCCAAAGCTTAAGTGAACAAACTAAAATTAGAAGCTGATTGGCTACTATCCAAAGCTGCACCAGATTCTGAGTGCAGCAGTTTTAGTAAATATCCCCCATTGTGTCTTTTACAGTGCAGTTTTCTAACTGAAGAACCTTTGCATTTTCTGATTCAGTCCCAACTAGTTACCCCATGACAGTCAGTCAAGACGATGCTAACAAGGCTTCCACACCTCAATCAGCTGGTGTCCCTGTGGTAGCCTCTGATTTGGACGCATTGGAGGGTATGATGGAAGTGGTAGTTGTTCAGCAGTACAAGTGTAAGATGTGCCAATACAAGAGTGTCTCAAAATCCAACCTCCTTCGCCATGTGAAAGAGCGTCACGTGCCAGTAGGTAAGGAAACCCTTTATTCGACAGGATATTGAACTGAAATTTGGGTAGTTTTATATAGCCTTATATGGAAATCTGCTCAAATATTGGAAAATAAATTGAATAAAATAGCCAAAGAGAGTCTATAGTTGTTTTCTAATTACTTTCTTCCTTTATTATGGTGAGGACCAAAAAACAAAATCTGAAAAATATTGTTTTGGTTTGTGGATCTTCTGTGTCACCCAGAAAGGGTATGGACTCTCCCCAAGGTGAAGTCATGATGTGCCAGGTTTTACCGAAGCTGGGTTTGTTGCACTGCTAACACACACATGTGTGCAACATATAGGGATGCCTAGATGGTGATGGATGACGAACAAGCAGGACAGGTGCTACACCAGAATAAAGTCCTCATTTGGCTAATCAGAGCAGCGACTGACAATAGCAGAGATAACAGGCCAATAATCAGCATAATTACAGACAAGCTAAATACATACAGTGTGCAATCCAAGTAATCCAGAGAAAGTCAGACAAACCTGTTGACCAGGCACAGGCTGCCGGTCCAGCAGTATATTTTGCACTCCTAATTTAGAAAGGTATACACTGTAGAGTTCTTAGTAATGACCAGCAGATGTAGAAGGCCCAGTATGGGGTCTTATTCGACAAAGGGAGCTGCAAAGGAAGCTACCGTGCTGTTTCTTTGGGCTTGGTTCACTTATTTTGTCTGTGTTCCGCGGGTGCATGGGCACAGTAACCCATTCATTTGAAAGGTCTGATGTGTCTGCATTTTTTTGCAGGGCAGAAGGTCCATGAATCTTTTTTAAAACACGACCTCACGGAAATGAAATTATGTTTTTGCACCATGCAATTTCCATGTGCAGGAATGTGTGTTTTTCAGTGCGTAGGGGTGCCATTAGAAGTTAATGGCACCCCTGCTTGTTTTCTAAGCAGCACCATGTTTTGTTTGCAGCTTCATGCAGGTGTGGGAATGCAAACGATTTACACGCACTCCTGCACATATGCGAAGCTAGCCTTAGATAACACATAGTACTCCGTGCTTTGGGAATTCTTGGTTGTTTATTAAATGTGTATAAATTAACTACAATAAAAGTAATCCATAATAGTTTCCCTATAGAACAAAACATCAAAAATTCAAAATATGCTTTAACTGAAAATATAATAAGCTTTGTTTGTACAGCAGCTGCTCAGATAATTTCAGGGTTATTTTCACACTCATCTATTCGAGAAAATGTGCAGCCTGTTTAGTTTTACTGTATTTGTCTGTTAAGTCTATGAAGATGGACGGATGTCTCGTAAAGCTGTAAGATTACGAGAGGAGGAAGATGAAGATGAAGATGATATTGTGGATGCTGGAGCCATAGATAACCCAAATGGTGAGGAATCTTCTTCTCTTAAAGGCACCATATGCTTTACAATCTGATTGCATAATCTTATTTAGATCTACTATCAACTATTTAGTACATGGGCCTGCTTTGATAATAATTGAATAAATTGCTAAGGTTTGCTCTCCTACTTCATGGTTTGATAAAGTTGAAAGAGAGGACAGATATTGTACAGACAGTATAGTTTATGGCTAGAGGTGAAGTTTGTAATTTGCAATTTTGCCAATTTTTTAATTTCTGTTGTGTTCTAGATGACAGTGATTACAGCCCAGGAGAGGATGCCTCCCGTAGTCACCACTTTGAGGGTGCCGAGAAGGCTTTGGTCAAAGAAAGGCCTCGTAGACGACCTGGGCGACCACGTAAGATTCCACGCATACAAGGTACTGTCTTTCAGAGGCAGCAATGATAAATGGTCTAGCAACCTAAGGATGCTGTAATGTCACTATTATGTTTATGCATCCAACAGAAGTATGTTTCCGTGATGGTATTTGATTAACATTAGCAGAATGAAAACATTTTGAAGATGTAGTTGATTATTTATTTTCCAATACTTTGTGGGAATTAAAATTAATCAATAACAGCACAGTGGCTAAATGGTTAGCACTTCCGCCTGGCAGTACTAGGGTCACTGGTTCGAATCCCAACCACGGCACCACCTGCCTGGAGTTTGCATGTTCTCCCTGTGCCTGCGTGGGTTTCCCCCGGGTACTCCGATTTCCTCCCACACTCCAAAGACATGCTGGTAGGTTAATTGGATCCTGTCTAAATTGGCCCTAGTATGTATGAATATAGGTTAGGGACCTTAGATTGTACGCCCCCTTGAGGGTTAGGGACTGATGTGAATGTACAATATATATGTAAAGCGCTGCGTAAATTGACGGCGCTATATAAGTACCTATAATAAATAAATAACAATGCTGCGTTATCACGTCCATGTGAATAAATTATACAACTTCTCTACACTTCAACATATAAACCATAAGTAATAAATCAACATGTCACAACTCCTATTCAAATAAACAATTAAATCCTTATGAAAAATGTCTCTATTTTTTTTATATGTATATAAAGTCCCAATGTCATCATCCATTCTCCATGTGATTCCTTAAAATGTGTATTCTTGCACCACTTTGATCAGTGAGTCTCACCACCTTTTCTACATTGCTCCCACCTCAGGGGGGTGACCTAATGAATAATCAGGTCAAACAACACTTCCCCTTTAAGAGATTAATCACTGTACCTTTGCTCCCACTCTTGTCACTCCAATGGCTGTAAAATGGTGGACTCTGATCACTCTTGATGTCAAAAAAACAACTTGCCCAATCGATGTGCATGTCCCTTTAAGGGATCAGGGTTTTCCGCTGGTCACTCTGCAGTAAAGCTCAGGACAGAGGGGGACTCCCTATAGTGCACTAAATAAAGCACTTAATTTAATAAAGTTATTGCACTTAAATTTCCAAAAAAGACTGCACATACATTCACTGACCACTTTATTAGGTACACCTTGCTAGTACTAAATTGGACTCCCTTTTGCCTTCAGAACTGCCTTAATTCTTTGTGGCATAGATTCAACAAGGTGTTGGAAGCATTCCTCAGAGATTTTGGTCCACATTGACATGAGTTACTGTTGCCTTTCTATCATCTCGAACGAGTCTGACCATTCACCTCTGACATCAACAACGCATTTTTTGTCCACACAACTGCCGCTCACTGGATATTTTCTCTTTTTCGGACCATTCTCTGTAAACCCTAGAGATGGTTGTGTGTGAAAATCCCAGAAGATCAGCAGTTTTTTTAAAATACTCAGACCAGCCTGTCTGGCATCCACACCCATGCCACGTTCAAAGTCACCTAAATCCCCTTTCTTCCCCATTCTGATGCTTGGTTTGAACTTCAGCAAGTCGTCTTCACCATGTCTAGATGCCAAAATGCACTGAGTTGCTGCCATGTGATTGGCTTATTAGCAATTTATGTTACCAAGCAATTGAACAGGTGTACCTAATAAAGTGGCTGATGAGTATATATTAAAATCTCACTCTGCACTCCATATAGCGGCTCCCACCTGCACTTCCGATTTGTCAATCAGTCAACCAGCGGCCCTGCACCTATCGACACGGTACCACGAGCCAATGTAGGCTCTGACTGCTGCGCTCTGTGAGAGTGGTGGACCGGCTCTCCAGTGCTGCCAGCACAGGGCTGCTTCTCAGTTTTGAGCATGGACACATCATTAAAAAAAAATTATTTAGTTGTTGTGCAGCTTGATTGCATAACAATAATAATAATAAAAAAACAAGACTTCAATCAGTCTGGTTTAAAAAGATTGAAAACAACCTTTTAAATTACATTAACATGGTAAACCTTGAGATTTTAGTGAGTATAGAGCTCTTTTAACAGCAGTGTGGGAGTATTTGATTGTTGTGGTAAAAACTAGACCAAAGTAAAAGAAGGACAAATCACAGAACAATATTTACTCATATAAAAAGTTATCATTTCATACTGATTAATAGCAAAGTTATCTCAAGCTATTGTATCACTTACTAAGGCTTTAAGATGTTTAGGTGTTTCTAGTAATGACTAGTCAGCTGTTTTCATTCTCTAGCCTGTGCTAAAAAAAAACAGCACATGGAGTTTCTCCAATTTCCCCTTTATTGCAGTTTTTTACAGCAATTCTACTGAATTATAAAAGTAATCTACTGTGCTTTTCTTCTCTAGAACCCGAAAAAGACAGTGGTCCACCAATACCTGTAACTGAAAGTCAAGCTGAAATTTCTGTTATTCTTTCTGATGTTGAAAATAAAGATATTTCCCCCAACCCTCATCAGGAGGAACAGAAACCACCTACTAGGCCACGTGGGCGGCCACCCAAGCACTTCATGGGCAAAAGGTATCATCGCTACAGAGGCCAGAGGTGAGTTTATGATGATGCTGTAGATTACCTTGTGGGTCCATTTGTCTTCGGGAATTAATTTAGAACTAAAATAATGATTTTCTGGGGAACTGCTTGCACTTTTAAAGCTGAACTTCAGGCACAAAAACTAAATACGCAGATGAAATGCATACTGTGTAAGGTTCTTCCTTAGACTAGTTGCATGGGTGCTCAACCTTTGGCTCTCCAGGTGTTGCAGAACTACAAAGTCCCATCATGCCTCTGCCTTTGGGAGTCATGCTTGTAACTGTCAGCATTGAAATTCCTTGTGGGACTTGTAGTTCCGCAACACCTAGAGGGCTACCCATCTGCCACACAGTACAGGACAGCTGATTTTTCTTTCCTGCAGTGCAGTAAAATTTACAGGCCTTGTCCCTTCTCCAATTGTCACTGGAAAGTAAAGGGAGAAGCAGCAGACAGATCAGCTCATCTCTCTCACTCTTCTCCTCCTAACAGCATGTTCCTTACATTGAATAATAGTAGGATAGCACACACCCCCTATACTCTAATAAAGTGACAAGACAAGTCAACCTATACACTCCTTCACCCTGAAGGAAGACTAACTAAATAATACAGCAGACTTGAATAAATATAGTTATATTTAAAAACTGAAAGTCCAAAAATAGTCCAAACATTAGACCATCAACATGTGAAAAGGTGACAACAATGCTCAGAGCAGATCCAAATAGCTTCGATTCCAAAGGGGTCGTTGAGGAATATCTGGAATCCATCATCGACCCCTTTGGAATCTAAGCTATTTGGATCTGCTCTGAGCATTGTTGTCACCTTTTCACATGTTGATGGATTAATGTTTGGACTATTTTTGGACTTTCAGTTTTTAAATATAACTATTTTTATTCAAGTCTGCTGTATTATTTAGATGTTCCTTACATTGATTGCCTCCTTGTGTTGCTTCTCCCTTCTCCCACTTTGAGCACTTCTGTACAATTTGGCTACAAGAGGCTGATACTAAGTAAAATTCAGGTACCTACAGTGACTGCATTTAAAAAATAGATTTAATGCCGTATTTATGAGGTGCATTAATTTGTGTTTTTTTTATATCTGCCTGGAGTTCAGCTTTACCTAGTGAGTTTGGATATAAATGCACATCTGAAAAGAGACATGTTCACCATTGGAGGATTACTAAAGCTCGTCTACCTGAAGGCTAGGCTTACACTAGCCTGAAAGTTGCAGGCTCCTTTCAGTTGCAGGGATCGCATCTGTTCTGGTACATGCAGCCGAATGCTCATTCTGAATGGCATTCCCACACATCTCAGCCCACAGCAGGATCAGGGGTGTGCGGGAACTGCAGGGAAACCGCATGGTCAAAAAGACCATGCAGTCTCCCTGCGGATGCGTTTTTGAAAAGGTGCAAGCACCTTTTTTTTTGCATGAAACGTGGGCACAGCAGCCCATTCAAATGAATGGGCGCCATGCCTGCGCAAACACTTGCTGCACGGCCCACACTAGTGTGAACCAGGCCTTATATTCAGTGTGACCAATCCATACATAATATCTCTGTGGATTCTGTAGGCAGTTGACAGGGTGGCCCAGCTGTATGCATCAGACAGCTATCAATGAGAGCTTTTGGAAATACAGTATAATTCATTGTGGTTGTACAATGTATACTGAGCCATAACTTTTTCTTTATTTCTGATTTCCCTGTACTTGTGTATCTTGAAACTTTTAAGATTATGAGAGACCCAGCAGACACTGTGTTGCAGTCACTATATATACGCGGACAGTTTTGATTATTTTATAACCAGATGGGGACACGCTGCCTCTTCTGCTTGTACTGCTTCACCGAGCCCATTAGGGGGGTGCACGGTGAGCTTGAGTGTCAGCATGGAGTAAGGCTGCCCCTTCTGCCGCCATCATCTGGTCCTGTCTGGGGGGAAAAGCCGAGCACAATAAGAACACTTCTGTTCAGGGCTGTAACGTAGATATAATAATGCTAATAACCTTTTAAAAAAAAAATGTATGTGGTGCTGGTATTACTAGTTTGTGATCAGCTAAAACAAGGGAGTAAAAGGTTGGAAATTAAAGGCTTTTTCAGACAGGCGTGAATGCTAAAACAGCCTTTATCAATGCACCGGTAGCGTTAGGCTACTTTCACTCTAATCCGTAGCAAAAACGCAGTAAAAATGCATGTGCATTTTTGCTGCCCTTTTACCACGTTTGTGGTCCGTGTTTCACAGGACATGTGACTCAATAATGAACAAAAATTCAGCGTTCACATGATATGGGATGGGATGGTGACACAGGGCATAAGGGAAGGAAAATAGGGAACTGACTGAGCACAGAAATTAATGAGGAGGAGTCACTGGGTGGAATGGTCCATAGGATGGACAATAGGAGGAGGAGGCAGACCACGGAGCTTAAGCACCTGGATGGGAGCAGGAAAGTCTTGTCAGGGATGATGGAGATCCTATGATACTGAAGAGGTGGCAGGGTGAACTCAGTGGGTGCTTCCTGGGGTGGATGATGGAAGAAGGGATGGGCCAGAAGGCAAACGCCTGGGAAGGGACTGCATGTGACTCAATAATGAACAGAAATTCAGCGTTCACATGATATGGAATGGGATGGTGACAGAGGGCATAGTGGAAGAAAAATAGGGAACTGACGGAGCACAGAAATTAATGAGGAGGAGTCACTGGGTGGAATGGTCCATAGGATGGACAATAGGAAGAGGAGGCAGACCACGGAGCTTAAGCACCTGGATGGGAGCAGGAAAGTCTTGTCAGGGATGATGGAGATCCTATGATACTGAAGAGGTGGTAGAGTGAACTCAGTGGGTGCTTCCTGGGGTGGATGATGGAAGAAGGGATGGACCAGAAGGCAAACACCTGGGAAGGGACTGCATGTGACTCAATAACCACACCAAAAAAAACAACAGCGGTGCGTTTTGATGCATTTTTTTATGCGTTTTGCCACATTTTCCACATTTCAATGGGGAGGTGCGTTTTTGGTGCGCTTTTTAACCGCACCACACATGCAGCAAGCAGCATTTTACAAAATGCAGCGGACCCCCACCTGATCACTCTGAAGAGTTCATAGGATTTCATGGCCATGCGTTTTTCTTCAGCTTATTTTAACGCAAAAGTGGAAGAAAGCGGATCAGTGTGAAAGCAGCAAGCATTTTGAATGTGTTGTATAGGCATTCGTGTTGTGTCAGGCAACACTTCTCACATACCCTATGTGATGTTTTTTTTTAATTTTGTACAAAACTAAAATGGGAAATGATCACTTTTGACGCTTTGCAACCGCACCTTAAACGTAGACACGTTTACAGTGCATTTTTGACATGCTTGTGCTACATGTAATAGAAGTGAATGGAGGCAGTTACAAAGAGTCAGCGCCTGCCAAACTCTGCAGGCAGTTTTATTTTTGCCTCACCACATCATGAGGCAACGCTAACACTGCAATGTGATCACCTCCATCTGCTCCCTATTTTACCAATTTTGAGTGGCATTGATAGGCGATCAAGAAATGTTAAAAACATGACCCAACCACCTATTTTCAAGGCCTGTGTGAAAGAGCCCTAAAGGGAACAAAGAAAAAATGAATAGCTGGAGATACAGTCACTGTATACTGTGAATTACTTCTTGTACAAGACAGACTACCAATTTTAGGGACGTTGGAAACAATATCAATATTTTCTCACAGGTGTTTATTCTCATTCACACTGGATGAGGCTGAAAAGGCAATAAATGTTACGTGTGCTTTAACTACTTGCCGACCGCAGATAGCTGAATGACGGCTGCACTGTGGCCGGCCAGTTCTGGGAGGACGTCATATGACGTCTTCCCAGAACAAACGTCCCAGAACGCGCTCTCCTGTGCGCCTCCGGGGGCGCGCTCCCGGCAATCTCCGTGATCGCTGTGTCTTACAGACACAGCTGATCACGTGACGTGGTAAAAGGCCAATCACAGCGGCCTTTTACCATGTGATCAGCCATGTCCAATGACACGCTGATCACCGGGAATTGGAAGTGCCGGTTCTCGGCTGCACTTTCCTTACGCTGTTAGATCGTGAGGAAAGTACTGCCGAAAACCGGCAGTTGTCAGAGCGGGGATCGGCACCGATCATCAGGGTCACTGATCATCATAGCACAAAAAGTAAAGTGCCCAGCAGCGATTAAATACCACCAAAAGAAAGCTCTATTTGTGAGAAAAAAAATGATAAAAATGTCATATGGGTACAATCTTGCATGACCGCGCAATTGTCAATCAAAGTGCGACAGCCCTGAAAGCTGAAAATTGGCCTGGTAAATAAGGGGGTATAAGTGCCCGGTAGGCAAGTGGTTAATATTCATTGCTTTTTGAGACTCCTATTAATGTATTTTTGAAGGTCTCCTTTCCCTTTCAATCCCTTGAAAGTCTTTTGAATGATAAACTGGAGCGCAACCAAAATGAAGGTTGTTACACGAAATGAAAAATTTTAAAATTAGATATAGGCTTATAACTATGCGCTTGTGTGTTAGTGAATTTACAGAAATTGAATTAAATCAAAAAGATTTAGATACATTAAATAAAAAAAATACACATTAAATTAAATTAGAACTCAAAAAAGCAGCCGTTAAAAAATAACATTAGATAAATAAATATATGAGTATAGTTAACCCTCCTCATAAACAGCGCTCATCTACAGTATATAGATAGATATACAGTTGCAAGAAAAAGTATGTGAACCCCTTGGGATTTTGTGGAGTTTTGCATGAATTGGGTATAAAATGTGCTCTGAACGTCATCTAAGTCACAACAATAGAAGAACACAGTCTGCTGAACATAATACTACACAAACATTAGATGTTGCCAGGTTTAATTGCACATAACATGTAAACATTCACAGTCCAGAGCACATTTTATGCCCAACTCATGCAAAACTCCACGTAATCCCAAGGGGTTCACATACTTTTTCTTGCAACTGTAGATAGATATATAAATATGGATCAGACATAATATTACTAAAAAATATATATGGAGAGTAGAGTGGAAACAGTACTTCCACCAGGGTGTATCAGAGTGAATTTGCACTTCGTCCAGTCCACCTTAACAGTCTTAAAGGCAATCACTGTATTCCAACAAGATCCACTCCAACACCTCTGTACTCTTGCAGTGATTAGCACCCCATCAAATTGGACACTTACCAGATAATGGTGAATAACCAGCAGTATAAAACCTCCTCCTTATCTGTTGGATACCGGTATCTCATCAAATGAAATTAATGACCAGTAAACCATTCTCTTTCTGGGCTCCACAACAGCCATCACTCAAGCACAAGACTCAGATCCAGTACATGGGTGAAAAGTGGAAATAAATCACAGTGTCATTCCGTTTCAAGAGCCTTTATTGCCTCTAACCCCCCTTGATAAAATCACTCACATTCAAGGAATATATATTGCACATTGATAAAGTAAAGCGTTGCTACCGCTTCAGCGGTGTACCCAGCATCTCACCGCACACAGCGCCGCTGTTAACTTCCGTGTAGGGAGGTCACGTGCTGTTGGTGAGCGGTAGCAATGCTTTACTCTATCAATGTGCAATATATATTCATTGAATGTGAGTGATTTTATCAAGGGGGGTTAGAGGCAATGAAGGCTTTTGAAACGGAATTACACTATGTTGTTTATTTCCACTTTTCACCTATGTACTGGATCTGAGTCTTGTGCTTGAGTGATGGCTGTTGTAGAGCCCAGAAGGAGAATGGTTTACTGGTCATTCATTTAATTTGATGAGATACCGGTGTCCAACAGATAAGGAGGAGATTTTATACTTCTGGTTATTCACCATTATCTGCTGAGTGTCCAATTTGATGGGGCACTGTGTTACACGGAATGGCCAAAAGTTTGTAGATATCTGACCATCACACCTTTTTGAGCTTGTTAGGCATTTCATCCAAAACCATGGGGGGTTAATAAGGAGTTTGTTCCCTGGATGCATACAACAGCCTCACTTTTCTGTGAAGACTTTTCATAAGATTTTGTAGTGTTTCTGTGGGAATTTGCACCCATTCAGCCAAAAGAGCATTTATAAAATCAGGTACTGACGAGGCACTTGGAAAGTTTGGGTATTTACGTGAGAATGCTGTTTATAGACTACACCTTGGCTTTTAACACCATTATAGTGGACCTATTGTTCGAGATATTGCTGAAGCTGGGTCTGCAGGCATCCATCTGTCTTTGAATTAGGGATTTCTTAGTCAAAATGGGTTGACATTTCTCTTCTGTGCGATATTTAAATGTTGGATCTCGACAGGGCTGTGCATTGAGCCCTCTTCTTTATGCACTCCATACCTATGACTGTACACCATACTATCGTACAAGCAGCATTATTAAATTGGCTGATGATACAATGGTAGTTGGCTGTATCATTGGTGGGGATGAGGAATGTTATAGAGCAGAGGTGGAAAAGATAGTGGAGTGGTACGAAATAAATAATTTATCACTGAATATGGGAAAAGCTAAAGAGCTAGTTGTGGATTTCAGAAAGAGCAAGACTGAAATAGCTCCACTCTTCATAAGGTAAATGTGTGGAAAGGGCCTCTGCTTTCACGTTTGTTGGGGTATATATTTCCGAGACTTTTGTATGGTCAGTAAATGTACAAGCTACCATCAAAAAAAATCCCAGCAACAATTAGATTTTCCTAGATTGCTTACAAAGAATGGTCTAGCACAAAAAGTATTGAAAACGATACTAAAGAATTTTTTTTTTCTAAAAATAACAAACATGTCTATATTTACCTGCTGTGTAGTAGTTTTGCACAGAGCAGCCCAGATCCTCCTCTTCCCGGGTCCCCCGCAGGCTCTCCTGGCCCCTCCCTCCTGTCGGGTGCCCCCACAGCAAGCAGCTTACTATGGGGGCACCCGCTGCTCTGTGTGTCCATTCACACACAGAGCCATGGCTCAGTCCTGCCCCTCTCTCTTCTCATTGGCTCACAGGCTGTGATTGACAGCAGCAGAAGCCAATGGCTCCCGTGCTGTCTCAGCCAATGAGGAGAAGGAGTCCTGGGATAGCCAAGACTCCAGTGCACATCTCTGGATCGAGAGGGGGCTTAGGTGAGTATTAGGGGGCTGGGGGAGCTGCTGCACACAGAAGGTTTTTCCCTTTCATGTATAGTATGCATGAAGGTTAAAAACCTTGAGCTTTTACAAGCACTTTAAAGGATAAATTCACCTTTTGACAAAAAATAATAAATGCACATTTTTTTTTTGCAAATGTGCATTTATTATTTTTTGATGCAGGAGCCTGTAAAGCATTGCACCAATGATCAGGAGATCGCTGGTGCCATGCAGGTCTCCTTCAGACTGTCAGTATATCTGCTTGCCTGTACGGGATGTATGGGTAAGCAGACATACTGAAAGGAAGAATCAATGAACTACCACGGCGCTCCACAGTGCCATGGTAGTTAATTGAGAACTACAAGCCCACAGCCACTAACGCTGCCAGGGCTTGTAGTTCATTCATTCACAGAACACAGAACAGGAGCTACTTTTGGGCGAAAAGCTTCATGTGATGTGATTTTCCGCATAATAAATTGCGTGCAAAATCGCACCGCGTTTTAGGTGCCATTGAAAATAATGACACCAGAAGCTGTGTTTTTGCGATTTGTAGAATCTCAGCGGTCCCAAAACGCCCAAGTGTGAATGGAGCCTCATAGAACTGACACTGGAGCTTGATTTGGCTGTTTAGTATGCGTTTGTAGTGAGCACCCAAGTGCTTCCGTATCCGAGAGTAACCTGAAGGATGTTTTTATACTGTCCATGATTTGGTCCAGCATTACCTAGTTACATGAAGAGTTCTGAGGTCTGGTTACCCCTCATTGTTATTATTATTACATTCAAACAGTACTACCATGTTATATGAGTAGTAACTAGATGCATCATTTTATATGCTGTAACCTATACCCTGCAGGTATTATAAACCTCCAAGTAAGCCTCTACTCAGACAATTTATGTGCCGTGTCTGTGGCTCCCGTTTCCTCACACAAGAAGACTATTCCTTTCATGTGAATTCACACGATGGCAGTGACCCCCAATCATTCCGGTGCCTGCAGTGTAACTACCAGTGCCGAAGATGGTCTTCATTAAAGGTGAGTGTATTTTCAATGAGCCTGCTCCTAATGGGTAAGTAAAGATCAGGTTTCATATGTGTAGATTGGGGTATTTGGGGTAATATTTTTTTTTTTCTTTCCTCAAGGAGCACATGTTTAACCACCAAGGAAGTAAGCCACACAAATGTGACCAATGTGACTACACTAGTGTATACAAAAAGGATGTGATAAGACACTCTGTTGTGCACAAGCAGGAACGGTAAGTCTTATGAGAAAGAAATACTAAGCACCCTTTCTTACAATTAGAGTGACCCTGACTTGGCCTAACACGTTCCTAGGATAAAAACCAAGTCATATCTTAACCTGCGACCACCTGGCATCGCTAAGGCGAATTTCAAGCTCATTCTACAAGTCACCACCGCAGCCAAGCAGGTTATCGCTAAGTCATGGAAATCTCCCTCACTGAGTATGACTGCAGTTTTGAATAGGGTCACTCAGGCAATGATTCACGCAAAAATAGAAGCCACTATCCTAGATTCCATCCCTAAGTTCAAGAAGATTTGGAATCCCTGGGTAGAGCATTTCCTTCCATCCAATTTTGATGACTCCCTTCTCAATCCGTAACCTACGTCTTTTGTTTTGATGGTACCATTACTTAACCATACTGAGGTTTTCTCCCTTCTCCCCCTACCGTGCAGCCGTATGCCCCTCCCCATCCTCCCTCCTCATCCCCCCCCTCCCCATTTTTTTTAGGCCTCAACTGCCATTTGATAGTCCTCTTTATTAGTGATGCCTAACCTTGTATTATTGGGTTTCTTACTGTGCAATCAATGTACACCTTCAATGACCCATATTTTTGCTTATGATTTTGTACTGTTCCATGTTAAAATAATAAAATGATTTGAACAAGAAAAACCAAGTCATATCACCTTTTGGTATGTTGGCCTTTAACCACTTGCCCTCCTGAGGATTTACCCCCCTTTCTGACCAGACTATTTTTTGTGTTACGGCGCTGCGTTACTTTAACACTTTTTTTACTTTTGACAAATGCGCGGTCATGCAACATTGCACCCAAATGAAACTTGCGTCCTTTTTTTTCCCACAAATTGAACTTTTTTAGTGGTATTTGATCACCTGTGCGGTTTTTAATTTTTGCGCTATTAAAAAAAAAGACCGACAATTTTAAGAAAAAAAAACAATATTTTTGACTTTTTGCTATTAAACATGTCCAGTAAAAAAAAATTTAAAAAATCAAATTTCGTCATAAATTTAGGCCAAAATGTATTCTGCTACATGTCTTTGTTTAAAAAAAAAATCCCAACATGTGTAAATTAATTTGTAAGTATAGCGTTTACAAATGGTGGTATATATACTGGGATTTTTTTTTTTTACTAGTAATGGCGGTGAGCAGCGACTTATTGCAGGACTGCGGTGGACATTCTAACACTGGGGGGAACTGACTTGGTGTCACTGACATCCCCAGTCACACCAATACAGTGATCAGTGCTAAAAAAAAAACCACTAACACTGTATTAATGGCACTGGGCAGGAAGGAGTTAATATGAGGGGTGAGCAAAGGGTTAACTTTGTGCTGGGTGTGTTACTAGGGGGCGGTGTCTGTGCTCCACTGTAAGTACACTGCTTTGGATGGCTATGCTCTTCCTACTCAGAACTGCAAAATCACGTATATATATATACATGATTTTGCACACCCGTGCCACCCTGTTGCAGAGTTTCTCCTATAGGGCAGTCGGGAAGCAGTTAAATTGAGCCCTGTCTGTATTCTTGTAGAAACCCCCTTGAATACTAGACCCATGGTTTAAATGGACTTCCACTTCTGTCCAAGTCAAGGTTAAAACTGAACTCCAGGCACCCACTGAATACAAAGTTGAAATGCATATGACAGAGCTGTTTTACTTGCTAAAGACTTTGCATTCTGTCCCCCAAATTCTGAGATTTACACAGTCCTATTACACAGCACAGCCAAGTCAATGACACCACTTTCTCTGTTATTTGTAGACTGTAAGGCCTCTTGCACATGGGAGTAAAAATGCTGAGTTTTTTACTGATCTGAAATGAGATGCATTGCTGTCTATGGAACCATGCACACAGATGAGTAAAGAGATTAGTAATACAGTATTGAGTACAGAGCCATAAAACAAAAATAGGAAATTTTACATTTGAGTGCAGTAATTTACTTGTGTGTTTTACTCGTCTAATAAGCATGTTTCCGAGTACTTGTTTATGAGTATAGATGAGTATATTACAACACTGGAATTTTACTTGTCTGTACGCTTACGCACCTGTACACGCCTATACTCAACATTACTCAGGTCTTTACATACAGTTTTTTATACTCTGGGGCTTTCTGTCAACAAGTTCCTGAGTAAGCATCCGTAAATTGTGCCACCCATGTGCAAGGGGCCTTAAATGGACAAAGTGTTGACTCCCCATCCCAGTCTGCTTATAAGAAGTAAAGGTGCAAAGGACTGAGGTCATCTCTCTGTTCATTATGCTGTCTCCTCCATTCAGCATGTTCCTTGTTAGGATACAGGCATGCAGCACATGCAGTCTTGCACCTTCCTTCCCCAGTCTTATTGATACTGTATAGGGGATTGTAAGAGGCTGATACCAACTCAAAATTAGATTCTTAGAATTGATTTGTGTAATTCTTACCTAAAAATACAAAAAATAGAGCAGCGCTAACAACCTATACTAAAATACAAATGAGATAAATGGAGATATCATATATAGAATGCAAAATAAATATTCAGTGTTAGGTGCTCATAAAATGAATACTATGTGCAGCAGTCCATAAATGCCAATGATGGTGAAAAATCACAGCAAAACTCCGTGAGGTGATCACAGTGCCACTCAGCGTGCGGTCAATCCACAGATGGCCAAGATGGCCCCTCACCTCCTTGATGCGACCCACTGGGCCAAACCGCTATGTAGGCGACCTTATACACCCAATAAGGCATCATCAAAGGATGGAACGTATGGAAAGATCCCTCCAATATCTTCTCCTATCTCCTAGGTACTCGATTCCACAAAACCATTTAAGATACCATTAAAAACAAAGAAGATCCTCCATAGTGTAATCCAGTTTTAATAATAACATGAATATAAATAAAATGCCCACTCACATGTAAAATGACAAAGATCAGCTTTTTCCCATATCATGGGTGTGTTTCCATGGTTCTCATGCTAAGAAATGCATGCAGCTTCACAATCCCTCCAGAAATGGCGCTGACACCGGAAATGACGTCACGCGCCACCGGAAATTATGTCAGTGCATACCTTAACGCGTTTACATCACGATCCACGTGACTTACCTGCCTAGAATTTATCTTTAAGCCTGCTCATTCATACCAGACCATGCAGACCATGTACGATTAGTCTTCTGTAAAACTGTGACCAGTAGTGGCTTTGTTCTCATTTCATTCTTTTTTTTTTTTTTTGTTTCAGGAAGAAGAAACCTTTGCTGGTAAGATGATCTGTCTTTAAAATTTTAAGATTTATATATTTTTTATGCAGAAAATCCACCCCTGGACTCAAATAGATTGCATCCAGGTCTGATCATCTGTCCCCAGCAGCAGATACCCTCAGATTATTATTATTATTATTCAGGATTTATATAGCACCAACAGTTTGCGCAGTGCTTTACAATGTAAGGGAGACAGTACAATTACAATACATTCAGTACAGAAGGAATGTGAGGGCCCTGCTTGTGGAGCTTACAATCTAAAGCTGGATGCGTACAGCCATGGGGAGCCATGCTTGTTGTATAGGCTGGGCTTCCACCACTAATCATGACACCTGGGATCCCAGACACAAGTATCTGGAGTATACTTGTTACAGGAATCTACAGGAGGGACACTTTTTGGCCTTCATCTGTTTTAGAAAGAATTACTACTCAGTACATGAAGCTACAGTGAGGGCTTGTTTTAAATTTCTTTTACTGCTTTTTAAGAATTTGAAAATACTTAAGATGTACATAGTCTACACAGGTGCAATTTAAAAAGTTCTGTACGCATGTTCCGTGCATCTGTCTGTGACTCACTAGTTAGTAAACCACAGATAGGATAACTGATGCCTGCATCTTGTAAAAACCAATCAGCAGTCAGTCCCAAATTTCTATCCTTACAGGGATAATTAGGAAATTAAGTGGAATTTCCTCAAAGGGGACATGCAGCATTTAACACCTGTAATAGGACCTTAACCTTTCCACTCTATCCATATCAGATGTGATCCATAATTTTATAATCAGTAACTAGTGTGTAGGTTTATTTATCTTATTTCCTTTTCACACCTATGTTTTATCTCTGTTTCTTTCACACCTCTTCTTTCCATACAGACTTCAAAAAGTTCCACCTATCCATGTCCTGTCTGTAATCGGGTATATAATATGCAAAAGAGGCTGACACAGCATTTAAAATCACACAGCAGTGAGAAGCCACACATGTGTGACAAGGTAATTACTGAACCACTTTAGTTCATTCTTTTGTATAAAAAAAGGGAATTTACATATATGTGTGTGTGTATATAAATATATATATATATATATATATATTCTATTTGTTTTGGTAGGATTAAAAGGTATTTTATTTAGAAATGTTTCGTATTTTCATTTCAAACCAGCAGGCGGTGCTCTAGGCCCGTTTCATTTTTTTTTTTTTTTTTTTTTTTTAACTGGTTTGCTATAAAAGTCTGTTGTTAACTAAGTTCAGTAACACAAGCTCAAATATACCCACAAAACTAAATGATTTGGAGGCGGAACTGATTTCTCCTCACTCCCCTTCCCTGCCTGCTTTGTTCAGACAGGACAATTCTGACTATCAGCCTGTATATAAACAGCTTCTGCTATTTTGAAAACCCATTCTGCCTTGTGAATCTTACCTCATGCACCCTTTAAACATGTTTGTAAAGCAAGATTTTATATAAACAGTTGACAAGGTTATAATTAAAATCAGTGGTGGGTCGTGCATTTTACACCTAGGCCTTCCGTGATGTCCTACCTAAATAATCCAGCAATTTTGGCTGTAACCCTAAATATTCAGCATGGAAAAAATGTGACGTGGAAAAAGTGGGTCCTGGATTAGCCAGGGTTGACTGTGTAAAAATGTACCGTATTTGCCGGCGTATAAGACGACTTTTTGACCCTTGAAAATCTTCTCAAAAGTCGGGGGTCGTCTTATACGCCGGTACACATGTTAGGGGGGGCTGCGGCATTAAGTACAGGGGTTTGCAGGGGCTGACGTCTCTTACCTGGATCCAGTCCCACGACGATCCGGTCCAGGAAGCGCGGCGTCTCCTTCAGTTCGGCCACTGGATGTTCGTGCGGCTGCGCGGCTCCGCCTCCTCACCGGTGATTGGCCGCCAGAACTGTAGCTCAGGAAAGGCACACAGGCGGCCAATTCGGAGCCGAGCGGCCCCGCGAAAATTGAGTGCCGGAGCAGCAAGGTAAGTGCTCTGTGTAGAGGTCTGCTGCAACCACATATGCTGGCTGCAGCAGCACCATACGAGAACAGGGTCAGCAAGTCTCAGTGGGAGGAATAGTGCCCCATCATTGGTGTCACTGATACCAATGATGGGGCACTATTCCTCCCACTGATACCAACGATGGGGCACTATTCCTCCCCCCCACTGACACCAACGATGGGGGCACTATTCCCCCCCCCCACTGACACCAACGATGGGGCACTATTCCTCCCCCCACTGACACCAATGATGGGGCACTATTCCACCCCTCACTGACACCAATGATGGGACACCATTCCTCTGACACCAATGATGGGGCACTATTCCTGCCACTGATACCAATGATGGGGCACTATTCCTGCCACTGATACCAATGATGGGGCACCTATTCCCCCCACTGATACCAATGATGGGGCACTATTCCTCCCACTGATGCCAATGATGGGGCACCATTCCTGCCACTGATACCAATGATGGGGCACCTATTCCCCCCAGATACCAATGATGGGGCACCTATTCCCCCCCACTGATACCAATGATGGGGCACCTATTCCTCCCACTGATACCAATGATGGGGCACTAACTGAGATGGGGCACTATTCCTCCCACTGGTGTGCATTGGAAGCCTTATACGGCGAGTATAGCCCAAACACTACATTTTAGCAGGAAAAGTAGGGGGGTCGTCTTAACGCCCAGTCGTCTTATACGCCGGCAAATACGGTAAATAAAATGCATTATATTTACCAACACTAATGATTATTTGTACACAAAATCCATCCTCCTTTCCTCAAGAAGAGTTCAGTTACTCTGTTGTTCAGGTTTTCTGTGCATTACACTTCTAACAATAAGTTCTTTTCTATCGTCATGGAGGCTAATAATGAAAGTCAAGTCTGTCCAGTTGTATTTCTGGCATAAGTTTTATTTCGCATTAGGGCTGAGAATGTCTGCTGAACAGAAACAGTGGACACAGGAATTGTACGCCTGCTAGATAACCCTGGTGTTCCCAACTCCAAATCTGATTGGTAAAGCAGTGGTATCCAAACTGCGGCGCAGGGCCCAGATGTGGCCCTTTGGTTATCTCTATTCAGCCCTTGGGGCACTATTCTTCCCTCCAATAAAAGGCACCATTCTCCCCACAGACAGGAATGGTAGGTCATAATTTCTGCCATTGACACCAACAATAGGCCATTATTCCTCCACCTGAAACCATTGATGGGGCACTATTCCTCCCACTGGCACAAACTTTGGAGCACTATTCCTCCCACTGACACCACACCAATGATGGGGTGCTATTCTTTCCCCTGATAGCAACATTAGGGCACTTCTCCACCCAATACCAAAGATGGAACATGGTTTACTCCCACTGACCCCAAGACATTTTCCACTGCCACTGGCCACAGTTCGGCCCCCCTAAAGGCTTAAGGACAGTAAACCAGCCCTTTGTATAGAAAGTTTGGAGACCCCTGGGTTTAAAGCAACAGTTTCATTGCCATTTACTGTAAGCTACAGGCACCTGCACTGTTGATTTTGAAGGCCTCAATGCAGATTTCTTTGACCCTGTCAACAAATGATCACCATCATTGCTGAAATATAACGGATACAAATATATAAATATGCAGCGCTGCATACTTATATATTTGTATCCGTTACTTTTAAGGTGTTGGGGTTTACCTTTTTATGCTAGCTGCTTTTCCCTACATACCAAGAGTTGTGCTCACATTTATCTTTTTACTGTGATTGCTGAAATATGATTGAATAAATGCTTTAACATAAACATACACTGCTGGAAGCAGCAAAACGAAGCGAAAAGCTGTGAAATGAAGAGAATAGACTATATTGGAAATAATACATTAATTGTAAAAATATATTAAAACATAAGTCAGTGATAGTTTGGACAGTGATTAGGCCAGCAGAGAAGGCCTTGCTGGCCCTGACAGCCCACCACTGATTAAAATATACATGTTCAAAAACTTTAGGAAGAGAAATCTGGTTAAAATTAATTGAAACTTGTTATAGTTTCCTTTGAAATATTTTTAACAAGTAATTATCAACTGTGCTGTGTTGTCTTTTTACAGTGTGGTAAAGCCTTTAAGAAGCGTTACACCTTTAAGATGCACCTTTTGACTCACCTACATTGTGTGGAGGAGAGCAGGTAACCTTTTTGCCATTGAGATGGATATACTCTATGTACAGTAAACAGTATATACACCATTTTGTACACTGTGATGTGGTATTCAAAATACACCATGAGCTGTGATAACAATGTTAAAAAAAAAGGGGAGTTTGGGTGGAGAATTAGCAAGTCCTGTTTCAAAGAATTGCTGTGTTGTTACTCAGAGGTGCAACCAACTCAGGTACCATCCACCATCCAAATTGTTGTTTCTAAATACTATACATAGAAATCAGGGAAAAGGCAAAATCCTGTCTGCTCTCAGTGCTCCCGATCAGCTCCTACACTCTTTTATTTAAGCTACCAGTGACTGATGCTACCTGGTAAAGAAGTTCTTGGTTCCCTTTCTAAATCCTAATGACCTCCAAGAAGCATTGTTACTGATTTAAAAAAAAATTATTGAGGGAAAAAATTATCTTCTGCATCTTCAGTTGTGTCTTGTGAGATCCAGCCTGTCCTGTGCTGGATTTCACTTTAATGAAATGCCTTGTCTGAATTACCCCTGCCTGGGATCACCTTTTAGGCAGAGTATTCCCCTGTCACTAGTCTGTGACTTCCAGCAAGAGTGACCGAGGTGGGCCAAAGACAGTGCAGATTTCTTTCCTGATGGGGGAATCCCTCCCACCGAGCCATTGTATTCTCCAGGCCAGGAGGGTGGGGGAAGCCATCCCTGCCTGGAGAAGACAATGATTTTTGCTAGTGGCTATAATAGCCCCTAGGGATAGTCGCATCTTAAGAGAGAGAAAACCACACTTTAATCCACACAAAATGTACAATGTATACATTACAGCCACAAGCCTTTCTGTTTAATGATTGAAATGATTAGTGGATTATCAAATGACAGGGTAGGAATTCTCCAGGACACTGAATGTTCGATTCAGCCTCCAGGAACATAATAAAGACAAGGTCTTTAGTAGGAATCTAAGCTTGCCAAAAGGCATCGGGCAAGAGGCACTTTTTTTTTTAGGCACTTTTTTTTTGTTAAAAGTTACTTTCTCAGCATAACCTTCCCTATGAGCTGAATAAGAACATGAATCAAGCAGATTCCTAGATAGCAGGGACCCGTAGACCTTTACTACTGGCAGTTCAAGACAAACCTGATTTTGAGCTGAGGATATTTCTTTAATGTTAAGGAGAACTGTGGGATCATAGGGTCGGATGTGGTTATAGGATCCTCTAAACAAAATTAGGTTTACCTTTTAGACAAAGATAATAAATGCACATTTTTTTTTGCAGGTAAAAAAATGTTCATTTATAATTTTTTGTTCTACAGGAGCCTGGAAAGCATTGCACCAGCGATCAGTAAATTGCTGATGCCATGCAGGTCTCTTGCAAACCTGTCAGAATATCTGCTTGCCATACGGCTTCATTGAACAACCAAGGTGCTCCACAGCGCCGTGGTAGTTATTTGAAAACTACAAGCCCACAGCCGCTATGGCTGTTGGGACTTGCAGTTCATTCATTCACGGAAGTCCATGAATGAGTGACGTGGCCATGTGGACGGAGCCCTCACATGGCGTGCTATTTTCAAATCTGACAGTACGGAGAGACTTCAGAGGGAAGGGAGTTGGCAGGTGTGGCTGCGGCTGTGGGAATATGTTACATGTTCCACCCTAAAAATGGGTAGAACATGTAACATGTTACCAAAGGTGAACTTATCCTTTAAGCTACTGGCAAAAATAGCCTACGTGGATATACTGTCCAGAATCTGCCTGATCCATGTTCTCATTCTGCTTTCTGTGTTGATTGGACTATAGTCCATTTTGTTTTTCTAATATCTTTTTTTCTGGTTTGGTAGTCCACTGCTCAGCTCTACCAGTGTAAATCTAATTTTTCTTTTTCTCTCCAATTCCTGCTTACTACACCATTCTTCTCATATAATATTAAATAAATATATTTTCAAAAATTATTGTTACCCACTTGGCCAATTATTCTGTATGGATGATAAGTTTTGAGGACCAGTATATTGTCAATGTTAGTTTGAGCACAGCACTGATTTTGACACAGGATAAGGTAGCTATGCTTCTGCATGGGGTTAATAAATTCCCCCCAGCTCTAAGCCCCACCCTCCTGTTATTCAACAGTTAAATGGAAGAGTCTCTATTTTTCTCTTTCTATTGTGTGCATCCTCTAGCCCTGTTGAGTGCCTGTGCTGCTCATTTGGGAATAGTCTATTGATTACAGGCATTCCTCCTCTGAAATGCATTAGAGACCTCAGTTTAGGGCCAGCCGTACAAGAATCAAAATTTAGCCAGGTCAGCAGGGACTGCCCCGAATTAGGATCAATGTATGGCCAGGATGGTTGTTCACAAGTTGATCTATCGATCTATCAGCCAGCCTGTCTGGTTTTTACCAATCGATCATTGCCACCAGCTATAACCAGCAACACTGATCAGTGTATTCTGATGATTGGAATTCTCCCCACTGTCAGAATACAGTAGCTCTATGTGAAGGATTCCCCCATCTTCATCAAGTGTGTAGCCGGGGGATTGACTCGTTTTTTTTTTTTTTTTTTTTGTTTAACCCACTCGTTAAACAAAAAAAAACTGTATATTGAATGGCCAGTCTTAGACTAAGATACCAAACTCAAACGTACATCCTTTGATACATCATTTACAGGCCATGCACACAAATATCCTCTGTTTTTATATATGTTTTAAATAGCAAATCATGATCAACAGCTGGAAGGACTACTAAACATGTAAGCTTGCTTATAGTCTTGTAAGCAGATTATTATGTCCATACTGGCTCAAGTGTGTTTAATGCATGCTTTTCAAGAATAAGATTTATGTCCTCCTAATCTAAAACAATTCTGTGGTGATTATACTGTATATGGCCACCATTTAGCCAGTTCTAAAAAATGTCCATTATTGGGTCTCTCCTAGTTTTGAGTGTAATCTCTCTTCTTCAGTGGCTATAATGTAATTTCTGTTAACACATATTGGATATGTGCAATGTATGTAACTGAGATCTTGACTCGGTTTACTATTATTATTAGACTTTGATTCTGTGGACTGAAGTTTGTACTTTTTGGCTTACGTTCTCTAAACAGAATGTATAGAGAGTTTGTTTATATATAGTTAGGACTAAATAATAAAATGTATATTAAGGTTTTTCTTTTTTATTCAGGTAAACATGATATATTGAATTAATAATTTGCATTCTTGTATCCAGCTAGTAAGAACGTAGGCTTTTTTATTTTTTTTTTCAGTTTCACTTTAAAAATGATGTTTTAAGAGGGGAAGGGGGAAATGTTTTAAGAGGGGAAAAGAAAGGTAATAAGAAATAGCTATGTATATTTATTGTGAATATGATGAAAATGTTTGTAATTATTTTCAAAAATTAATAAATATTTAAATAATAAAAAAAAAAAAATTATGTTTTAAAAAGCCTTTACAGGTTACCAGTTTAGAGTTACAAAGGAGCTCTGGTGCTAGAATTGTTGCTCTCGCTCTGGTGTTCATGATGATACCTCACATGTATGGTGTGATTGCCATTTACATATTCGTGCAGGACCGACATGTGCATTCACCACTATGCATAAGCACAGTGGGATGGATTACTTCCAAATTTCTTTATTATTATTTGTTTTATTAGAATTTTTTTTTACACTGTTTCTTTAAAAAGTTTTGATCACTTTTATTGCTATTACAAGAAATGTAAACATCTCTTGTTATAAACAACAAGCAGTGACTGGTGCTCTTTACTGATGTCTCCTCTGTCTTTGAAAGCTTTGGATCAAACTCGGATCAGATCAATCTGAAGCTTTCCTAAGCTGGTAATGCCCGGGAAACAGCAGACAAACCAGAAGTGACAAAATCCTTGTCGCTTCCAGTTTCTGAAGTCACACAGTTGGGGGAAACAACAACATTCATTCCTCCCACTGTGTTCCAGGAAAAGGAGGAGCACGGTAAGGCAACAGGAGGGGGATGACCTCCTTTTGCTGTCTGTAAATGTAATCCAGCGGCTCTTTAGCCGCTCTGATTACTTTTATTTTGTGCAGAATCGCTGGCCCTAAAGAATAATATCCATGATATGCTGCTGCGATGTCCGAAATTCCACCCTCCCTATCCAAGGACACTCAGGTAAATCTTATGGATGGGAAGTAGTTAAAGGAAGCAATATCAGCTGTGCTTTCTCCCTGAGTGCTTTGAGAATCCTTTACCATGAAGTGTGTGTGTATGAACATTCACACTTAAAGGATAAGTTCACCTTTACAAAAAATAATAAATGCACATATTCTTGCTGGTAAAAAAATTTGCATTTATTATTTTTTTTGTTAGGAGCCTGTAAAGCATTGCACCATGATCAGCAGATTGTGGGTATAGTGTCATAGTCCTGCAGAATGTCTGCGTAGAGCTCTGCCCATACCTACAATATGGGCAGGCAGATACATACCTACTGGAAGCTCCTCGAACTACCTAGAGAGCTCAGCAGTGCCCTGATAGTTCATTTAGAACTACAAGTCGACAGCCGCAAAGGTTGTCGGTACTTGTAGTTTTCACACTCACAGAACACTCAATGAATGATGCGGCTGGGTGGGCGAAGCCCCGCTCGTCCGTGTTTTTTTCAGATTGTGACATCCAGTGGGGGGGGGGGGGGGGGGGATGATCCCCTGCTAGTTGTCAAAATGCGGGAGCGGAAGCCAGTGGATCTATAACATGTTACATATTATACCCTGGAAATGGATGGAATATGTTACAAAAGGTGAATTTATCTTTTGAGGTTTGCAGTCAGTGTCTATCGGAGTTGACGATTGTGCCAAGTTGCACAAAAATTAAGGTTTTACTTACAAGGTAGCCACCTTACTGTTTTTCTTTCTTTCTGTTGACCAAGCTCATTTGGTTTCCCCAGGTTTTACAGGGACCCCTTGAAGGCAGTTACTTACTGTATAAAGGATAACCACAGCAGTAGCATAATTATTCCTGATTAGACCATCTTCTCAGGAAGCTATGGTGCAAACACAGTTCCAAAGCTGAACT